CTCTAACTGTGGTTGAACTTAGTGACAGAGAACTAGCAGTAGGAAGCTGAGTCAGATCCTACTCTGTGACCTCTACTTCCTCCGTGAAATAGGAAAACAAGATCAATATGGAGGTGGGTGATGGGAACACGTGGTACCAAGTGAACACCTAGAATATCCACATGGTGTCAGAGGTCTGCAGAGATACAGTCCATGCCATCTTGTCATTTTCTTTAGCAATTTGGTTGTAGAATTAAAGAAGACATAGTTAATTTGAATTAAGGTTAGTTTTTTCAGACAAGTTTAATTAGGCAGGGAGTTGAAATTGACAAGGAACTAGTTGTGGTGAAGGGGAAGGAAGCAAAGGAGTATACTAATAAAGCGGGGCGGGGGGGAGACACAGCAGGAGGAAACCCCAAGGGAGGAGATGACTCCAAGAGAGGAGGTGACCCCAGGGGAGGAGATGACCCCAGGAAGCAGATGACTCTAGAGAAGGAGATGCCCCCAGGTGAGGAGACAACCTCACAGGAGGAGGTGACCCCATGGAGGAGATGACTCCAAGAGAAAAGATGGCCCCATGGAAGGAGATGATCCCAGGAAGGAGGTAACTCCAGGAGCAAGGTGACTCTAGGGGAGGAGATGACCCCAGGGGAGGAGATGACCCCAAGGGAGGAGATGACCCCAGGGAGGAGATGATTCCCAGGGAAGGAGACGACTCCAAGAGAGGAGATGAGCCCAGGGAGGAGATGACCCCAGAGGAGGAGATGTCCCCAGAGGAGAAGATGTCCCCTGGGGGAAAGGTGACTTCAGGGGAGGAGGTGACCACAGGGGGAGAGGTGACCCCAGGGGGGAGGTGGCCACAGTGGGAGAGGTGACCACAGGGGAGGAGGTACCCAAGGGGAGGAGATGATCCCAGGGGAGAAGATGACCCCAGAGTAGGAGATGACCCCAGGGGAAGAGGTGACCTCCAGGGAGAAGGTGACCCAAGGGGAGGAAGTAACCCCAGAGGAGGTGGTGAACCCAGGAGAGGAGATGATCCCAGGGGAGGAGATGACCCCAGGGGAGGAGTTGACCCTAAGGGAGAAGATGACTCCAGGGGAGGAGGTGGCCCCAAGGGAGTTGACCCCAAGGGAGGAGGTGACCCCAAGGGAGATGATCCCATGGGAGGAGGTGACCCCAAAGGAGGAGGTGATCCCAAGGGAGGAGATAGCCCCAGGGGAGGAGATGACCTCGAGGGAGGAGATGTCTCCATGGGAATAAATTACTCCAAGATTCTTGGCTCAAAGGACTTAGTTAGAGATGTAAGGGGTGGAATTTGAACTAGGAGACAAAGTAATGAGCTCAATTTTAACATTTCACTTTTCTATGTCCAGTTCTATATGTGAATTCAGATGCATAAGAAGGAGATGCATAAGAAGGAGATCTGGCCTGAAATGCAGCTTGGAGAATCATCACCTTAAAGACAGCAACTGAAGCCATACAAACACAAAGAGTAAAAACAATTAAAAATACTGACAATGAGGGGAAAACTCCAAGAAAGGAGATGAGCCTAGGGAGGAGATGACCCCAGAGGAGGAATTGTCCCCAGGGGAGGAGATGTCCCCTGGGGGGAAGGTGACCTCCTCCTCTGGGGTTGTCTCCTCCCTTGGGATCAGAGATGAGGGGAAAATTCCAGGTGAGGATGGTCCCAAAAGCCCAGAAAAGAGCATCTGATGTGAGAGCAATCAAAATGCTAGTGCTGCTTAAATTTGAAAGATGATTGTCTAAAATATGTCTAATTTGTGTTTGTTTTGTTAGTATCTAGGAGAATATGTGGCAATACATTGAGTTAGAACACAATAAATGTAAAGTTCTATGTTATGTCCATTCCAACACATGCAAGTCTCAATCCAAGATGGTTAGAGTTAATAACAATGACAACAAGGCAGAAAGAATGCAGGAAAGAAAGGAAGGGTGGAGGAAGGTAAGGAGAGAGGGAGGAGGAGGAAGCAGGGAGAGAGGGAAGAACTATCTCCCTCACCCCACATGCTCCATGCAGCCCCCATGCCTATCATCCACTCTCACTGAAAATCATCCCATAAAACAAGGCACACCAAATCTCCCCAACCTCATAAGCTCATGGGACACAGATGGACTTGCAGCAACTGAAAAAAAAATCACACTTCATTAGCTCTTGCTCCCACGTGGAAATGCAGGACTTCCAGCTCCTCTAGAACTGCCCCACTCCATACCTCCTCCTCAAGCATCTCCAAAGCCCAGGTCTATTTCTCCCAGGTGTTCATCTTTCTAGAATCTCTGACAGGGCACTCCAGTTCCTCAGTTTGCCCCTTCAAGAAGTACCAACGTCTCCTGATGGACACAGCTATTGATCCCCACCTGTCACCAGGTTGAGTGTCTCAAGTGCCTCACCAGGTGTTATTCTCCCACCAGACATGCTGCTGAAGACCTCTGTCAAGCACCATGACCAAGCAGCTAAAGGCCTCAAAGTGCCACAATGTGATATAATCTTGGGGAAGTGCCCTTTTGTCTTTGTGCTACTATCTGTCAGAAGAGTCCCAAAGCATAGCTGCTCCTTCTCCCACTACCTTGTAGACCTGAATGGAAGGACTCGTTCCACTTTTATTATTATTATTTTACTCATAGACCTCTTTCTCACTCTGGGATTCATATATGAATTGTTGCTTTATCTATCTTTTCAGATTTGTCCGTGCATTTCATAAATGGATTTTTTAAGGCTTTGTATTAAAAAGTGCTTAAAAATTAAACTATGTGAATGGACTAAGGAGAACTGATATGGACCATACATTATTTAAATCAATCCAGAATCACTTTGTAAAAGGCTCCATGGGTGCATGGCTGAAGCTCAGAGCAGCTCCCATTTTCAGTTCTCCACTCTAGTGTCCCATCATCCCCATAACTCAGCTGCCTTCTCTGTCTCCGATCATCTCTGCGTGTCTTTCCAGTTTCTGTTTCAAATACCAGGCTACAGATTCTCTTCCCTTATCTCCAGGTCAAATTCCCAAGGAATAAATTGACTGGTCAAGCTCATTACCATTGTTCTTGAATGGACACTCGTGATACGACACTTCATGGGTTACTGATTCACCTTTAGGTGAGCAGTGCCTATCAGATAGGGTCATATGTGGAACCAGCAAGAATACATGCTGAAGGAACCTCTCAAAAAAGGTCTGTAGGGGTGGGAAGCAAGCATTTTCAGGTGTGATCTTCCTCAACTAGGAAATGAGAATTTCTGTACACAGGAACCTTCATCAGAGATAATGTATTGAGCACACAGTAAACTCAAATATTATTTTTAGCTCCATGACTTAAAAAATAAGCCTCACTTCCTTCATATTTAAGTCCATCTAGGATATATCTCCATTTATCTTTCCAGTTTTAAGTTATTTTTCCTTGAACCCTATATAGAGCTAATATTTGTTGGTTGCTAACAATATGCCTGGTACATATTTTTAAGGTTGTGACAAGGATTTACTTATTTAATCCTTGCAACAGAAAGTACTATATTTTACCAGTGAGAATGCTGAGGCACAGAAAGGTTAAGTAACTTGTACAAGGATACATAGTAAATGGCTGAATAGAAATTTAAACTCAGGTATGGCTTCAAAGCCCAAAATCTTAATCAGTAAATCATATTCTCTCTCAAAAATCAACTAGTATTACTGACATAATGAGTAATAGGTATTATAAGTAATTATTGCATGCTGTCAGGGCTCAGAACACCACACCCTAAGTATGGCTCTTTGGCATAGAGGCTAGATTTCCTCTCCCCAAAGCAAGTCATTAAACCTAGTAAGGTCACTTTCTGATCTTTCCTTGCCTTTCTGTGAGAAGTGTGGTCATAAAGGAATTCTCTGGCCTACCTCACCTGAAGATAGGTCACTACACTATCATGCCAGAGAAGTCCTGCCCTACACCTAGAGTCCACGAAGAATCTGACCAACAGGCCTTGATGAGTTCCCCCTCAGTTTAGGATCACTAGATCACGTCCTCTTTGCCCAATCATGTTTCTTCACTTCTTTCACCAAACTTAGCATAAGAAGACAGAGCTTCCCTGGGTCTTTGGGTCTTGTTTCTGGAAAACTCCCTTGCCAATTTTTAAAATAAATGTAAGCTTTTCTCTTGTTAATCTTTTTTACAGGGAAGACTGCTGTGAACTTTGTGAAGAGTATAGAAAAGATATTACTTTTTATTCTTAATAAAGTCGAGCAATGGACTACGAGGCCTACATACATGAACTCAAACTGATGTTTTGCCCTGTTGCCATTAGAATAAACATTTGCATCACAAACATAGCTAGAAACAAAGCTATGACTTTTTCTCTAAGAACTGCTACAGCTGCACCCGAGATTTTAATATATTCTGTCTTTATTGTCATTCTGTTAAGTAGATTTTCTCATTCCCATGTGATTTATTCCCGAGCCCAAGAGACACTTGTTATGTTGTTTCGATTCCAGGTGTGGAGATTTTCCGTCTTGTTTATTTCTCGTTTAATTCTACTGAGGTTGGAGAACATACACGGAATAAGGTGGGCGCTTTAAATGCGCGGGGCTAACTCGATGGCACAGGGTACCTCGATCTGGGTGTAAGCTTCATTAGCTCAGGTTTTCTCCGTTTCCAGTCACTGTGTTCCTGGGGACGGACTTGAAACTGGAAATCTTCAAATGTCCCTCCAGACGCCAGTTTTGTGATTCCAAGCTACACTAAAACGATGAAGAGTTAGTGCAGGTCTTCCTTCCCGGTAACTTTTCTTGAGTTTTCCAAATGTAGCAACTATGGCTTCTAATTAAAATCAGAAAAAGAAACCCTGCGTGCCTGCGTCCAGCGCAGTCGCCTCCCCTCGCAGGAAAGAGAAGATCCCAAGGGCCGCCACGCAGCACAAGAGACCCCGCACGACCCGCGGGCGCCTGCGCACACCCGGGCACGCCAGGCGGTGCCGAGGGGCGAGGCCGGGGGCGGGGCCTCGCGGCGTGCTG